TTCTAGAAGGCAGTCACATGTTATGGGTACGTGTGCAGCAAATCCACAAAGAGTTTCTTTTAAACACAGTTATTTGATGAATAGTTAATTGAAGGAAATGGTAAAAGGTGCTACCAAATTGTCATCAAAACTGTTGCTTGGTTTAATTTAAGCTCAACCAGATTTTCTCTTAAACCTTGGGGTCTATGGCTTAGGCTCTTGAGCCCTTGTTTATGCAGAAACTAATTTTTGTGTATTTTTTTTAGTTTGTTTGAAAGACATTGCTTAGACTTTTAGTGATTCAATATGTAATAAAATACCCTGAGATTCAGAGCTTTAAAGTGAAATTTTGATTTGCTGTTACTTGATGAGGTGACTCTAATGGAATTATGTCTTGTAAAGCAGTTCAGCAATTCATGTTTTAGAATTACACATAATTAACTCAATACCCTAAAGCAGTTTATCTTTTCTTTTTTTTTTTTTGCGTCTTAAGACTTTCGTTATAAAAACTGAGAGAAAAATCATGGCAGCATCCCTTATAAGGTTAACTAAATCATATGGGTAGGACCTGTATAAAATATTAATACCGGGCCACTGTGAAATATTGGGTAAAGGCAAAGATGACTTACCATTGGAGATTTCAAGAGTAGTAACTAATCACAGACCATCTGTTCAGTACAACTACAGCCACTTTCATTTATTTATTTTATCTTTTTATTATGACTTAAGTGAAGGTTTACAGAGCAAATCAGCAGTTATCCATTCAACAACTTCTCAAGCTTTCCATTGTCCTTCTCCATTGCTATCACCCTCATCGCCCTCTTGTTCACCCAGACAGCACCTATATCATTTAGTCTGTGCCTTCTCCTTCCCTCCACCCCTCCCTTTCCCACGCCTGGTAACAATCAAAGACTGTTTCTTTTAGTGTGAAAATCATTTGTTGGTTTTTTAATTTTCTTGTAGTAAAACTGATCCCATGCAATCTTTGCTCCTTTGGTTTTGATTGATTTCACTCGACACATGGTTCTCCAGGTTCATCCAGGTCATGAGACATCTCACAGCCTCCTCGTGATTTTTTGATGTGTACTATTCTATGTACCAAGGTTTGCTTATTTTGATATTCTTCCACTGATGGGCAGTTAGATTGTTTCTATCATTTTACTCTTGTGAATACTGCAGTGCTGACATGAGTGTGTATATATGCCAAGTAGAGTGCTTGCTAGGACATATGGTCTTTCTAGTCCCAGGTTTTTGAGGAAGCACCCTACAGCTTTCCACGGTGGTTGTGCCATTGTGTAGTCCTAATAGCAGTGTATGAGTTGCTCTGCATCTTATTGAGTATTTGTATTCTTCTGTGTGTGTGTGTGTGTGTGTGCTGTTTTGTAACTCTCCTTGCCCTGCTGAAGTGAGATCGCATCTCATCATTGTTTTGCTTTTCATCTCTCAAATGGCTCCATCATGTGTTTGTTGGATGACTGGATGTCTATTGGTAAGCAATCTGTTCATATCCTCTGTCCCTTTTTGATGATATTATTTATCTTTTTCTTGTTGAGGTTTTAGCATTTGCTATCCATTTTAGAAGTTAGTCCCTTATCCATTGCATCATGGCCAAATTTCCCCAAGTCTTCCGGTTCTCTTTTCCCTCCTGTGGTGAAGTCTCTAGATGCATGTAAGTGTCTGACTTTCTCTTTTGTCTGTGTAGCCATTTGTTCTTGCCAGATCTTTGTGCATAGTTGGGGTGGTTTCACCAAGCAGTGGGGGAGGGCGGATAGGTGACAGTTCCGTTCTTGTCTGGACACGTGTTACTCCTTGGTAAGATAAAATGCCTGTTTTCTACTTGTGTAGTGGAAACTGGCATTCCATTACCAAGGGTCCTTTAGAATATAAGTTACAACTTTTAAACAACATTTTCAGTAAATTTAAAGTGGTTTTATGTAACTGAAACAGTTAAAAATTGTGTAGCTACTTTTGAATGTGCTATAATGGCAAAGCTGTACAGTTGTTAACCTTCGTAATAGGAAATATCGGAAGGGAAAACATTGGCAGTGAGTGATCTTAGAGAATGGGAATTTGACCTTCCCATAATATGGCACCTACCTAGGACAAAAGCCTTGCTTGCCTCGTGGTTGGATGGAAATCCACCATGGACTTCTCTCTCAACTTTGAGAGCAATCTATTTTGAGTTACATTTTCCCCTTTCCATTAATGAACTGCCACTGTGTTATTTTTTATTAGGTGGTTCTTTCAAAGAGCACACTACAGAAAAACCTTACTAATTTTTGAATGGTATAACAAGGCCTATCTAAAGCAAAACATTTATAAAATATGTATAAATTTTTACCTCTGGATGGTATTAAAAATTAGAAAATATGTGTATATTTTTCCTTTTCAAAGGGTTCATTTGGATTTCATAGCAAGTATATGCTTGTGAATTGAACTGTTTTAGGATCAGGAGGAATGAATGAAATGCTTCATCTTGACATGTCTTTGTATGTGTATGTCAACCTTAAAGTCTAGACCTTTATAGGTGACTTAAATGAGATATTACAGAATGTGTCGCACACACACACACAAAAAGAGGGGTGATATTAAGGGAAACTATAGTTTTCCACCTTGCTCAGCCTGAACTAGTTCAGATATGCCAATAAGTAGGGTTAATTCTACTTAAAGCTAAGTAAAGAATAACTGGTACTAAGTTTTTGTTTACTTGTTGAATTTTTAAGAGTGAAAAAGAAAGTAACTTTGTCTCAAAGAAGAATATCTTTTTGAATCAAAATGTGAAATAAATAAAATCTAACTTGAGGGTGTGTTGTTAAGTTATAGAAGGTTAAGTTATATATATATATATATATATGGAGAAATGGAATTAATTTGCCTTGGTGTAGAAAATGCAAAATGATGAAATATTTCAAAACTTTTACAATATTAGATTGGATCAATTTTGCTGGCTTTATTCATAAGATGGGAATAGGCTGGTGAATGACTATAAAATGTTACATGAGTGCTAATACTTTTTACTAAAATCACGGTGGAATCATAACCTTTAAAAGATGTTCAGTGAGGTACAGTTCCATATCATAGTGAGTTTATAACAATGATCGGGTCCAGTGAATTCTCACTATCATATCAAGCATATTTGGCCAGTAGAAGTAAAGGTGAGAAAATAATGCAAAAAGATCACTCCAACAATATCTCAATCATACAACTGAGACACAAAACAACAAAAGGTTTAGTAACTTAGGTTTAACATTGCATAGGACACTTTTAAGCCTTGTTTTAAGATATGTCCCTTTGGTCAAACATTCCTTCTGGCTTTTCATTTACCTTGTTTGGATTTGATTGGTTCGGGGAATTTCCCAATCAAGTCTTTCATTTAAAACAGTGGTTCTCAACCTTCCTAATGCTGTGACCCTTTAATATAGTTCTTCATGTTGTGGTGACGCCCAACCATAAAATTATTTTCGTTGCTACCTCATCACTGTAATTTTGCTACTGTTATGAATTGGGCGGCCCCTGTGAAAGGGTCATTCGACTCCCAAAGGGGTCATGACCCACAGGTTGAGATCCGCTGATCTTAAAATAATATGTATATTCCTGTGAATTAACCATGGCCATGTCAAACTTTTGCTTTGCTGACCTGCTAAGGCATTTGACCAATTAATTTCTACCCCAAAAGGGGGCTATATTGGACTTATAAGAAAGGACTAGTATCCTGAGCTTGGAGCCCTCCCATCTAAGTCAAGATTTGAGCCTGGAGAAGTCTAGGTGCCAGAGTGTGTACCGTTTACAGCGCTTTCAATTCAGCATGTCCTCAGTCCACTTTACCGATTGTCTCACCTAAACTGACATGTAGCGATTGTAGGATCATTTGGATTAAATGTGGCCTTCATTTTCCAATAACAAATCAAACCAGAAAACAAAGCAGTTGATATAATGAGATAGTCCTCTGGAGAGGTCAGCATCCTAGCTGCAGTCTCTTCTTCACCCAATCTAAGGAAATTCTTGGCAAGGAGAACTTGGAATTCTGTACTACAAGATTGTACTACAAGAAATGTATAAAATAACTAAAAGCCCTTATTCTGAAAGACATCTACAGCATAGGAATAAGTAAGATTTGCTTCTTTATCTGGACTTCTTTGGAGTAGAATTATTCCAGTAAGTAAATTATATTGGTAATCTTAACCTTTAGATAGATAGATACCCAGATACACACAGAGACATATATAACCTTTTTGATAGCGTGGCATGATAGCCATTTTGATATGTCTTTTTACTAGGCACTACATAGTTCAATGGCATTAATTAAGAGAATATATTGGAAAAAATCTGCCAATATTTAGCCTTTGGGTCCTCATTATTCATTTATTATTATTATTTTCATCTTGTCTGTTTGTTTTAAGTCTGCTAGATAATCTCAGTGTCATGGTCCACGTAAAGTGACATTTGCCCACTGACCCCCGTCCCAGGGTCAGACAGCTGTACCCTTTGAACTTTTCACTGGTTTTCTTTCCTTTTGTTCTCATTGCCAAGACATGCACTTTTTACTACAAAAATGTAGATGACTGCTTTCTACATCCACAAAAACCTTTTCTAATTCACTGTTTTATACTTTTTCTACTCTGGGAAACCAGAAACTCATGTCTATTCCTATTTTATGTAAAGAATGATTAATAGACATCAAATAAAGTCATGTCCTTAATGGCAGGTTTTCTGACCATCCAAGGACTTTCAAATTTTACTTTTCAGTTGCAATTGGTTCTCTGGAGTGGTGGAAGCTTGACACTGGACAAAATGCCTTTTATTTATAAGCTACCGTGCTTATGGTTTTCCATTATAGTATTGGTGCTGTCCTGTTGCTCCAAAATTAAGTAGCTAAATTAAGGTAAAGAAAAAGAATCGCCATTGCTCCAAGCAGTTGTTAAAAAAATGTATAAAATAAGATGTGGATCTTTTGGACAAAAGGAGAAGGAGAAGGAAACTATTCTTAATACTTCATGAGTATTTTTCCTATTTTTTAACAGAGACCTATTAAAGGATGTATCTGCTGGGCAGCTCACAGACCATGAGATTATAACAATTGCTCGTCGTTACCGGGCATCGGTGGATAAGGAACCGCCTGTGGATGTCTTCATTTCAATGGCCCACGAACAGCTCAAGAAGAATCATTTTGAGAATTTTGAAAAATTACTCTGTATGTGTGTGTACCAAGATCGACAAAAGTAAGCTTTTAAAACTTATTCTAATGGAGCTCTTACATTTCTGTGAGTCTGAGTAATGAAGGAATTAATATTCCATCAAAAAGGACAAAAAGTGTCATTCTCCATCATACGCCACGATTTAGTAAGACCAAAACCCTTTGCCAAGGAGTTTATTCTGACTCAGGGCAACTGTTTCATAAAGCCATTTAAAATATTTTTTGGAATTCTCCAAAATTATCTGTGTATAAATATTTTATGATGATGGTGAGCTTTGTTTGTTGAGGTAATGGGTGGGGCCTTGTGGCTTCAGAAGAATATGATGCCCTTGCACTTTCTTTCCGTTGATTTCTAGAAGCTTTTATCTGAAACATAATAAGATGCTAAAAAGTTTAATTTTAAAATATCTTCTCCTTACACTAGGATTTACAAAGGTCCTTTTTAATAATAGACAAGGCGAAGAAATTTTGAACAACTCTATAACATTTCTTTGAAATTATTTTCCTTCTTGAAAATGGTGAAATTCAGCATAATCTATTTCTAATATATCTATCAAGTATGTGTTGAGCTTCCTTAAATCAATGTTACAATATACAACTGCAGCCATATTTAATATGTTTTGGTGTTCATCTTACCTCTAGGCCTGATATATTCAGCTAGGAGACAGAAATGCTTAATACTAACTCTAGATTTCAGTCTCATGACTCCACACCACTGTCATCTTCTCCCTCCATATGTGACAACTTCCCTCCTCCCCAAACCCGAAACCTGCACCCCTAGGGGCTGTCTGCATACCCTAAATATCTTTGAGGGTCACATGTTGTTGTGTGCTATCAAGTTGATTCTAACTTAAATCAGTCCCATGTGATGGAGTAGAACTACCCCATAGGGTTTCCTAGGTTGCCCTGGTGATGCTGTGGGTTAGCCATTGGTCAGCAACTGTAAGGTCAATAGTTTTAATCTATTAATCCCTCTGTGGAAGAAAGATGAGGCTGTCTGCTCCCATAAAGATTTACAGTCTCAGAAACTCTATATAATGTCACTATGGGTTGGAATCAACATTATGACTGTGGGTTTGGTTTGGCTTTTAATCTTTATGAAAACCGCTGGCCATTTTCTCCCCTTAGAGCCACTAGTGGATTCAAATTGTGGGCCTTTAGGTGGCATATAAGAGCTTAACCGTTGTAACAACAGGGCTCTTTTGAAGGTCTCATCTTAAATGTGAATACTGATATTTCCCCCCCTAGTCTATAACACATGTTTATTGATTGGTTTTGTAGAGATGACACTTTTTCCCTTGAATCTGTGAGCCTTGCTGAGTCACTGGAAGATATAGAGCCAGAGCTTTGCACAGCCTGGCCCTGCCTTCTCCACTGGTGCGGTCCCTTCTTCAGGTTGAGAAGTGTGAGCTTTCCTTCCCTGGCAGAACGCCTCTGTAGAACAGCCAGGGTGTTTGATCAGACAGCTGAGGCTCTTCCATATCTGATCAACTTTTAACTGCGACATCAACATTCTCATCATTATATAACCTCATTACCAAGAAAGACTGTTGATTCTAATTTTACCTAATACCTGGAAGAACATTCTTTCGGTAGGATAAGCATTTCTGTGCCCCCACAATATGTTGGTAAAAATTACTCTTGGGTTGTTCTGGAAAAATCATCTGATAAAACTGAGGTCAAGGCCCCAACTGTGGTTCCCAGGAAATATAGTTTGGGTCCAAGGAAAAGACCAGAAAAACACCCTCAAGTCATATCGTACTTATGTTGGAGGCTCTAGATGCCTGTCAGATTAAGACTTGTTTTCAAATATCAGAGCCATTTTTGACCAGTGATCAAGAATGAAGATCAATTACTTAGAGCAACACTTGTGGCTTAAGGCTTTAATAAGCTGTGCTATTGCTAACCATGAATTCTGAATCTTAATGGGAATGCTTTTGTTTATAAGGACAGAATCTGGTGATTGCTGGAGTGGAGAAAGTTGATGAAATGCAATATGGTTGTTTTTCCTTACTGCAAATGCCAATACCAATTTCATGCTTATTTTCCTGTGCACGTTATTAGAACATGTTTGTATTTTCTTTCTTATAACATGTAATTGCTAGTAGAGGAAAACAAGGTATATAAAAGCCTATTTCTTTTGTTTTAATGTAGAAAAAAAGTATTACCCAGCAAAGAGATCAGAAAGCTATGCAAGGCCTCCAGGCTACCTGTGACAGAAGATCTTCTTATGCCCATACTATCCAGGTAAACAAGCGCTTCATTCTGAATGGAGGTTGGCCTGCATATTTTGTTTGGGGACTAGTTCTGCTTTTAAATCTACCTTTAGCTATCCTTTACCTCGTGTTCATAATATGCCTGCATTTAAGGGTTACAAAATGAAAAGTTCATTGTGATTTTGAATGGTAGAGAACAGAGCCAATTGGGAATTATTATTTGAGTAAAACAAGTATTATACACGTACAAACACATGGGCTCCTAGAACAAAAATGAAATGAAAATGTAAAACTTTGTTGGTTTTGAGGCCATTACATGGAAAATTCAGGATAGGTGTATTTCTTGATGACTAATACATACAGTAAGGGGACCTAGTGTTATTAGTACAGGACTCCATCCTGCTAGACTAACTGATGCACATGCACATCATAAGTTAATATGTTTCCAAAGGAATTTTCAAGACATAGTTTGACTTTTGGCTTTCTGGAAATACCCTGCCAGCCACCCAAAAACAAAGCTGTGGTCATCTTTGGTACGTCTTATTGCATCAGCCCAGCCCCTCCTCTTATTAACATATCTTGATTATTTTGACATCTTGGACTTGGTTATAGGGCATTTTGTTTGTGGTTTGAGTACATTATCTCATTTACTTGTAGTGAATAACTCTGTGGGATTTGAATTCTTATTATTTATGTCTTACAGGTACAGATGCTAGGGTTTAGATATTTTGCCCAAAGTCATATAGCCTGGGAGAAATAGAGCTTTAGCTTGACCCCTAACTCTTTTGAATGTACATTCTCTGCCTGTAACTAAGTCAAATTCTTATGTATAAATACTCAAAGGATTAGGAGAGTGTGAGGGTTCTACCCAATCTGCTAAGAACTCTGGTGGCATAGTGGCCTACCAATCACTAGGTCTGAGGTTCAAACCTACCAGCGGCTCCACGGGAGAAAGTTGAGGCTTTCTGCTCCCATAAAGATTTACAGCCTCACTAGAAAGAAATGAAGGCAACATATGTACAAATATGCCTGATGCAATCGATGTATGGATTGTAACAAGAGTTGTAAGAGTCCCCAATAAAATGATCTTTTAATTTTAAAAAATATAAATTAAAAGAAGATTTACAGGCACAGAAACCCACAGGGCCATTCTACCCTGCCTACATGCTTGCTGTGAGCCAGAATCAACTCAGTAACGTTGTTTGGTTTGGGTTGGACCTGCATTGTTGCTCTAACAGAAATATCACTTGAATGGTTTTAGCAAGCAGAAATCATTATGTCACAGTTTAGGAGAGTAGAAATCTTTAATCCAGGGTACTGGCTCTAGGGGAAGACAGTTCTGGAGGAAGGTCCTTGCCTCTTTGACCTTTTATTCCTCAGCAGTTTCCGTGGGACTTAGCATCTCTCTTCTCCCATTTATGCTTCCTAGCTTGCTTGTGAAATCTATTTTATATCTCAAAATAAATGGACTTATCTCACAGGACATCAAGGTCACTTGTCATAATATAGTTTACAAAGACCATATTCTATGTCCTTCTTTGGCGAGTAGTGGCTGTGGTCCTGAGAAACTTGTGAATGGCCGTCTAAGAGGCAGTTGTTGGAGCAAAGATGAGTGAAGATAATCCAAGACGCATGAAAGTAATTATACCAAGTACTAATGAACCACTGAAACCCCAGCACCAATGACCCTGGGATGGCACCTGGAAATAGGAAGTTTTGGAATGAGTGGGAGAAAAATATAGAACAAATATCAAAATAAAGTAAGCTCACAGGGCTGATAGAGAACCTCAGAAATTATAGCCCTTAGACACCCTTCAGACCTGGAACTGAACTCACCATTGTGACTCAATTTTTACTTAAAGGACAGACAGTTCTATGAGGTAAGCAATAACACCAGGGAGGTATACATTCCTTAGAACAATCAACCTTAGGAGATTAAAAAGGCAGCATTTGCCCAGGTATGAAAGGATAGGAAAGAAGGACAATGAAAATCATAAATACAAAGAGGAAACGGGATAAATGCTATAACATTGTGGGAATTGCAATCAATGTCGTGGGACAAAATGTGTACGAATTGTTGGATGGGAAATCAAATTGCTTTGTAAGAGTTCACCTATGTCACAATAAAAAGTGGTGGTGTAATGGGTTGCACTGTGGATTGCTAACCACAAGGACTACAGTTTGAAACCTCCAGCTATAGCCTAGGAAACCTAAAGTGAGAGTTCTACTCTGTCCTGTAGGGTCACTGTGAGTCACAATTGACTATATAACAATAGATTTCATTTGAAATCCAGTCTCATAACATAACACAAATCGTTCTCAAATGGGAGTATAACCACTGGCATAGAGGTTAGGATTTACCGCATGTATTTTGTGAGGACATAGTTCAATCCATAACATTACTGTTTATATCTACTCTCTTTATTCCCACTTGTGTCTGACTTATATCTGTTCTTGACTATTACAGGGCACTCAATGTTTGTCTGGTTTCTTTAGGACTCTAAATGTTGAAATCTATTATGAAGCTTGAGGTGATCAGTTGGAGCATTGTTCTCAAGCAAGGGTTGGAGTGGGGAGTCCTCAGCTAAGACAGGGCAAGATACGACAAAATACCCATTTATAAACTATCAAGGGCTCATGCGGGAGGGGGGAGCGGGGAGGGAGGGGGAAAATGAGGACCTAATGTCGGGGGTTTAAGTGGAGAGAAAATGTTTTGAGAAACGATGTACAAACGCACTTTACACAATTGATGTGTGTATGGATTGGGATAACAGTTGTATGAGCCCCTAATAAAATGTTAAAAAAAAAGGCGAACCAAGGGAACAGACAAAGCTGACTCTCATATGGGAAACAGGGTCCAAAGTGTCAGGAAGGCAATCCAGAAGAAGGCCCATCTAGTTGGATATGTATGCATTTTGGGTTGACCTGGGGTGATTTTCTCGAAGATACACTCATTGACTTTTTATTTTCTAGCAGCAATGTGAGATGTAGTTCATACTGGTGTAAAGGATCTGGGATGGAGTCGGCAGGCCTAGGATTCAGATATTTTTATAATTAAAACTTGGATCTCTTGTCCCACATTCTTAAAGTTCCTCTTCCTAGTTTCCCAGGAGTTCAGCTAAATGAGCCTTTTGGGATTTCATACATGTATGTACCTGGGATTCCCGCCCCCTTTTTTTTGCCATTAGTCTGGCTATTTCCTCAGTAGGAAATAGCTTCCATTTTCTTTTTCTTCTGTTGAAAGCTTGCTCTTCCTTGAGGAAACTAGTTCGGATAGCACTATATCCATAAAGTGTTCTTGAATAGATTGGGCAGCAAGTGAGTATCGCCCTCTAAGGAAGGACTCTGGCAATACAGTTTGTTTTGCCCCTTACCTTGGAATGAAAAGCTGTGACTTGAATTTTCTTTGATTCATTCAGATTCAAAAACCTGCTTCTAAGCCTTTAAGTTCACCACATGTAAGCGACCAAGTAGTTTGTCATGTCTTGACAGTTTTGCTCTTTGTGTTTCTCATGTATTCTTTACATTTGCCTACTAGCTGTAGGATTGTGCTAAAGACTGTTAACTCACCGGCACCTTAAATGTCGTGCCTTTAGAACAAGCTCCTCTTTCTATCTAGTGGTTCTGAGGATTAACTGGAAAAAATGCAGGCAAAATACCTAGTGTAACACCTAGAGATAAGAATAGATTGAGGTCTAGGAAAGAATTTTAGGTGGGGGACCGTAGACCACACACTCTGACTGAGCAATAAACTGGAAGAAAGCTATGTACCTCTCGACAGAGCAGGGCTTGTTTTGGAATACTTGAAGCTCAGTGCCTTTCACACATTAAGCTGTCCTCTGGTCAGGAAGCTGTGGATGTTTATTAGATTATCTTTTGATGGCCTCAAGGATGTGTTGTCCTGGAAAGTCTAATAATGTGGGAGCCTGGCCTCTGGAGGACCTACATGTTTCTCATCCAATGCAGAGGCCACCAAGTCACCACCCCTCTTCTCTCAGCAGACTGTTTAGTCTTTGTCTTTCAGATTTGACACTAGAGCCAGCCAAACTATTCCACGACTTGCTTCGAAGTCATCTCAAACCACATTTGTCTCAAACTACAGCCTAGCTCTGGGAAGGTGAACCCCCTCAGCGGCTAAGCAGACCCTGTTCAGTCTAAACTCTGCCTCTTATTGTGCAGTGACCCTTTTCTACACTCAAGGGAAACCTCCAACTAATCAGATTAGAAAATGTCTCATTCCCATTCCCTTCTCCCTCCAATATGCCCTGCTATGAATTGGGTCACATGCTTGGTGTTTTGCATCATCTCCGCAGATTCCTTTCAAAGATTGTCCTAATTCCTAATGGGCCCATCAGACCGCAGCTTGCATTTATATTCTACATTCTTATTGTTCCCCACAGACTCCCAGGGCTTGACAAAGCCTTGACCAGTGTCTCTTTCTGCGCAACCCTCCTATGGCATGCTGAGCCCGAGCCTTCTCTGACAGCTGCAGCCTCCCAGGGGAGGCAGGCGTGGAGTTGGCTTCATTTTGTTCAGTGCACACACTGCCCGGGGCTAGTTTTACCTGCCTGCTTCAGAAATCAACCTTTGAGCTGGAGAAAGACAGCTGTTGAGCAGCCACCTAACTTTGCTATGTGAATGCAATGCAAGATAGGAAAAGAAATGGTTCCAGTTTGGGCGTGTTCCGCCAGTTAATGGTACCCCCGTATTCCTCCTGACCCTGTGGATTGCTACTAAGATTCCCCTTCTACGCCAATTCCATTTTTCTTATAACTCAGTTTGGTCTTTTCCTTATTAGCTCAAGTTGAGCTGGAATCAGGACTTCAAAACCTTTTCACATATAGTAACCCCAGCCCTCCATGAACTCGTGCTGTGTAAGCTAGTGTGAAGTCTCCTTTCTTGCCAAACAAATCCATTTCACTAATGCACAGAGCATCAGACTTAAATGTCCCACAGAGTGGTAACTATTCCCCATTAATAATAGGAATGAGACTTTGTATTGACATAGTGCCAAGGACCCTAGAATCTTTT